TGAGTACCCCCCCCCCACCCCCCAAGATTCAGGAGAGGGCAGGCGCTGGGGGTGAAGGACCAGCGATGGCCACCAGGGTCTGGGATGGTTGAGATCCCAGAAGAAGATGAAAGAGCGAGTTCACTCCCGCGGGTGCTCGCCTCCTAGATGCACGGCCTCCATAGCTTTTGGCTGAAAGAGGATTTGTTTTGAAACCCAGACCCACAGCTCCCAGCTGGGGCCAGGCTCCGAGCCTCAGGCTCTCGCCTGTAAAGCAGGCACAGTAGTCCCTGCACCCTCGCTGCCTGAGTTACTGGGAAGGGAGGCGCTGCAGGTAAATGCTGAGCACAGGCAGTGCTCATGATCACCGCGTGTGCCAGGCCCCGGAGGAGTCGCTGTGAGCCATACCGCCTTGGCCCCCCGCCTTGGTGAATGGTACCACCTGTGGGCAGAGATGATGCCCCCTGGTTGGGGATGGGGTGGGGAGCTGTGAAAGCTCCGCTGGGCTTGCATCTCACAGGAGGGTGGTGGGCTGGGCAGGTGTGTCCATTGAGCAAGGCCCTGTCTGGCTCTCCCTCCACAGCTGACTTCAGGGACCTTTATACCAAAGTGTTTGAGGAAGAAGCTGCTTCAGTTTCCTCTGCAGATACAGGTCAGGCGTGTGGTTAGTGCCTGGGGGCTGGGGGCTGGGGCCGTGCTGCCTGGCCCTCTCTGCACCTCCCATTCCACCCATTCTCTCTCTCTCTCTCTCTCTCTCTCTCTCTCTCTCTCTGCAGGGCTCTGCTCTGAAGCCTGCCTCTTCCATCTAGCCCGCTGCCCTTCCCCCAAGTTGCTACGTGCTCATTCAGCCGGGAAACAGCGCCCTGTTCCCACCTACCAGAAGGTCCCCTTGCCCTCGGGCCCTACACCTGCCCACTCCCTGGGGGACCTGAAGGGCAGCTGGCCGGGCCGGGCCTTGGTCACCCGTTTCCTCCAGATGTCCAGGAAGACCCCGGACCCCGGTGGGAATGGAGCCCACGGGCATAAGCAGGTAGGATTAGGGGAGCCTGGGAAGATGCCCAGGAAAGTCTGGGGCTTCGGGCTGGGCCACATGGCTGTCCTCTCCCGTGTCCCCCCTCAGGTGCCCCGGGGCCGGTGGGGACGGCCAGGCAGAGAGAGTCTCCATCTTAGAAGCTGCGGGGACCTGAGCTCCGGCTCCTCCCTGCGGCGCCTCCTGTCTGGCCGCAGGCTTGAGCGGGGTACTCGCCCCCACAGCCTCAGCCTCAATGGGGGCACCCGGGAGACAGGGCTCTGATGTGGGCTTCCTGCTGCAGTGAAGAGATCCAGGTGAATGCTGGGGCTACAGGCCCCAACTGGTTGGGACCAGCAGCCTCCGGCATTCCCTCACACTGGCTGACACAGAAAGAAACTCGCTGTATACCCACTGTTACTCCTTTCTCTCCTACCTCTGGGGCCCCTGCTGCTTGCCTCTGCTCCTCTGGCCTGGGAGAGCTTCTGTTCTGTGCTGCATGGGTATTCAGGCTGGGGGGGAGATACCCTGCTTACAGCACTGGAGGGAGAAAATAACCAAGTCCTGCCCCACCCCCCAACCCCCAGCATGAGAGTAAGTCTCTCTGATTTGTCAGGGGCACTATGGCCAGGGCAAGGCCTGCCCAGGGTGTTGAAGCATAAGGGGCTGTGTGCCTATACAACCGGGTGGTGAAGCATGAAGAGTCATAAAAACCTGGGTGGCCTCCCAGCTCTGCCACCTCTAGCTGCATGACCTTGGGCAAGTTATTTAACCTCAGTTTCCTGCCCTGTAAAACACTGCGAGGGCAAATGTTTGTAAAACCCTTAACACACTGTAAGCCTTCAATAAATTTCAATTTCCCCCTTCCCTTCTGGATTATTTCTTACCATCAATGAAATTTGTTCTAGTGTCTCTTACAGATAAAACTCCCTCAAGACTTACATTCCTTTCAGCTGCCACACTGTATCTCTGCTCCTTTTCATAGCAGAATGTTTTCTCTTCCTTCCCTGCACTCCACTACCGATTCCCAGGCACGGCTCTTGATAAAGTTTTCAGCAACCAAGAAGTGGCCATTTCTCTGCCTGCTGCTTAAACTCTGTAACAGGCCTTTACCCAGAAAATCAGCATCTTTCTTCTTGATTTTTTCCCTTTCTTGTCTTAAAAGATACCATGTTCTCCTATTTTTTCCTTCTACTTTACCCTCTCGGTCAAACAACCCTTTCACAGGGGTCGCCTAAGACCATCCTGCATATCAGATATTTACATTACGATTCATAACAGTAGCAACATTACAGTTAAGAAGTAGCAACGAAAATAATGTTATGGTTGGGTCACAGCATGAGGAACTGTATTTAAAGGGCCAGAAGGTTGAGAACCACTGCTTTACAGCTCTGCTGGACGGATTAACACGGGAAGGCCCCAGGGCTCTCCCCTCAGCCCTTTTCTACTTTCACTGTCGGCAGATGGCTCTTCCAAGACCTGTAGCTTAAATACCGTCCAGGTGTCCATGGATAACTCCCACCTTGACCTCTCCATGGGCTCAGGCCTCCAACTTGACATCTCTGCTTGGATGTCTAATGGGTGTCTCAGCCTCAACATGGCCACAACTGAACTCCTGATTCCCACCTCTAGCACCTGGCCCACTTCCACTGTTCCATCTCACCAAGTGGCACCACCACCCAGGTGCATATTCCAAAAGCTTGGGACTCAACCTGATTTCTTCTTCTCCCTCATCCATCGCACCCAATCCTATTCTGAACTCATCCATGTCTCACCAGCTACCCAGCTCACGTCCCTGTTTCTGCCAGCATCTGAAAGGATTTATTTCCTTTCTTCCTAACACTCCGTTCTCCACCCAGCAAAGTAAGAAATCATGTCACATGAAGATTCCACCCAAATCTAAAGTCTTCCCCATGTATTTAGAATAATCTCCGAACTTCTTCCCAGACTACAGGCAGGTAAAACCTGGTCTGCTTTGCACAGGGCCTTCTCACCTGCTTTTCCCCAAGCATTAAACGCTGGGCCCCAGGGCTGTTGCCTTCACTTAAGCCTAATTCACCTTCTCGGCCTTTTGGCTAAGATCAAGTGTAGTATCTGTTCTTATCAGTTTAATTCACCTTCTCGTTGAACAACCTCCAGTCACTTTATCACACTGTCATGTTGTTTTGAGCACTTATCACAAGCCAAAATTATCTTGTTTTTGTCTCTTGTCCCATAAAATGTAAGCTCCGGAGAGCAGGGACTTGCTCATTGCACTGGGCCTAACACTTAGTAGGTCCTCAACAAACTCAAGTTACCTAAGTGACAGAGTGGCGCCTTGAAAGCAGCTTTGGGGCCCTATGACTTGGGGGATAGCCGCGGTGCCCTGCTGGGAAGGAAGGGAGGAGGAAGGGGCACTGTCCGCAGATGGCGTCAGGCCGCAAGACTCCTTGAATAATTCACCATCATAACAGCCCCGCCTCCGGGAGGGCTGGGGTGCGGCCAGGACGAGACAATAAGGTGGATTGGGGTTCCCAACGGGCCACTTTCTGGACGCTGAATGGCTGCTATCCGGAGGCTCCTAGAGGAGGAAGCTCACGAATCTTGTTTGTCTGAATTCATTGAGGGAATTTTATCTCCCTTCCCCACCACGCCCCCTCGCTTTATATTGGGGGCCGGCTCCTGGGCCAAGGCGCATGCGCGCTTCGTGACTCCCGCTCCCTCTTTCCCGTAGACCCCCAAATACGCTTGCGCCTCATCTGGGTTCCCACTGGCCAGGGAGAGCCGTCGGAGAACCAATAAGGCGTGCGGAAGGGGCCTGCGTCCCACCTTCTGGCCATTAGAGGGACACCTTCCTGA